AAGTGGTGCTGTGGCTCAAGTGGTAGAGTGGTAGCCTTGAGCTGAAGAGGTGAGGGACAGTGCCCAGGCCCAGAGTTCAAGCCCCACGACTGACCAAAAAAAAAAAAAAAAAAAGGAAGAAAATTTGAAAAAAGAAAGTGAATAGGAACTATGGGGCACATGGTCCACATAAAGCAGACCAATAATATGCAAAGTCGAAGTCTGAGAAAGAGATCAAAGAGTGTGATGATTAATCTTGTCAACTTGCGAGGATGAGAGATGCCTAGGAGATTAATATGCACACTTCAGGGAGTTGTGAGGATGTTTCCAGAGATGATTAAGGGAAAGACTTTCCCTAAATATGGATAGCACCATCTAATAGGCTGGGGCCCAGAAGGAACAAAGGGGGAAGAAGGAGAATGCCAGCTAGTGCTACTAGGTGCCCTCCCTCCCTCCCTTCTTCCCTCCCTTCCTCCCCTCCTCTTTCTCTCCTCTCTCTCTCTCCCTCCCTCCCTCCCTCCCTCCCTCTCTGTCTCTCTCTCTTTCTCTCCCCCCTCCTTTCTGCCTGTCCTGAAGTGAGCAGCCCTCTGCCACTATAACACTCTGTTTTGTATTGCCTTGGTTCTAGTTGCCTTGGATCTGCTCCTTTTAAGTTGTTTTCTTAGGTATTTAATCAGCAATGAAAAGTAACACTGACAGAAAAGAAGACCCAAGAATATTTGAAGAAATAATGGCTGAAAATTTCCCAGAATTTTATGAAAAATATAAATACAAATATCCTAGAAGCTCAACAAACTTCAACTTAACTGACATCAAAGAGAGCTACACCAAAATTCACTATATTTAAATTTTTAAAAGACAAAAAAGCTTGGAAGCGTAAAGAGAAAAGTGATTTTCCATATGCAAATAATTTTCAATAGGAATATTGGAAGATTTCTTCATTGATAGCTGTGTTGGAGGTAGAGTCTTGGGGGAAGTGTTTGAGTCATGGGTGTGGATAGCTTCCATAAATGGATTGATATCTTTCTCAAAAAAGTGGAGTTCTTGCTATCATGATTCTGCGTTAGAGACAGAGTTGTTATAAAACTGACCTGTTTTGTGTCCTTCATACAAGCCAGCTTGCCCTTTGGCTTGCTGGCTTTCTGTACTTGGAGTTCTTACCCTCCAGAACTGTGA